GGCGCTGGGGCGCTTGTGACCCCCAGGCCTGGCTCTGGAAGGTCATCCCAGAGAGGGGCCCTGTCACCCGGCCACCTGTGGGACCGTGGGTGGGTCCCCTGCCCCCCTGCCCCCCTGCCCCCCTGCCCCTGCTCGTCCTCCTCTGTGCTCCTCCAAACCCAGACTCCTTTCTTTTCTCAAGAGGAGGCTCAGAAACAGAAAGAGCTCGCAAAAGCTGAAATCCAGAAGATTCTGAAGGAAAAAGACCAGCTGACTGCAGACCTGAGCTCCATGGAAAAGTCTTTCTCTGACCTGTTTAAGCGATTCGAGAAACAGAAGGAGGTGATCGAGGGGTACCGCACGGTAGGTGTGCTGAGCGCCTGCCCTCCGCCCGGAGGACCCCGGGTGGGCTGTGGTCTGCCACTGAGCAGGCCTGTCCTGTGTCCTGACCTGGGCGAGGGCTGGGAGCTGCGGGCTCCCCCCGCCCCGCCCCGCCCCGCCCCCGCCGGGCGCCTGCCCACATCTCCGCCTCGCCAGCGGGCCCAGGTTGGAGGGCACTGTGTGCCCAGGGACACACGGGCACTCGGGGCCTGAGGAGCGGGTGGCTGCCTTCTGGAGAAGGGCCTGGCCAGTCGGGCCTCAGTGGCCCCGCTGCATGGGGCCTGCAGGGGGGGCATAGGGAGGCTCACTCAAGGTAGAGGGGCAGCCCAAGGGTGACTGTTACTGGGACTGGCCTGTGCTGGGGGAGGGGCCGGTAGCCTGAGGCCCCCGAGGAGGGGCTGGGCCGGGCCTAGAGGGTGCCACCTGATTTGCAGATGCAGGAAGACAGTCACACAGAGGGCAGAGCTCACTGGTCTCCCCAAGTCTGGTGCGCAGTCAGTGTTCCCCGAAGGAAGTACCTGAAGCTTGAAATTCCTTAAATACAGTTTCCCAGACAATGTCAGCACAGACTGCAAACACCTGAGCGAGGGTCACCGTCCTCAGGTGGGCTGTGCCACAGGCCCACGGCGCCTGGTTCCCGTACTCACGCGGGTCCTTGCACCGGAGCCCTCAGGATGGGTGGACGCAGCCTAGTGTGGCTGCAGTGACGCGCCAGCACGGGGACACGGGGGCCTGACCACAGCCCTCCCCCGGGGGGAGCGGGCCGCGTGGACGAGGAAAAGGCAGCCTGACACACAGGAGCCCGGAGAGCTGTTGGGCCACATGCCTCGCCTGGAGGGAGCTGGCAGAGAACTTTCTACAACCAGGAGACGGTTTAGAAGCTAACACTCTTAAACATACTACATGATGGCCACGGTGCTGGCTACGTGCAGTAGCCGGGCCAGAGGACCGCATAGGACCCCTGGGGCCTCCGCCCCCAGCCTTCCCCTGCCCCCGCCTCTCCCCGCACCCCTGCCCCTCACCTGTGGGTTCTGTCATTGCCTGAAACCAGATGGAAGACGGGCCACACAGCTGTCCCCACATGGCCCTTAGGTAGACAGCCCCGTTCCCGTGTCCTGGTGGGTGTGTGTTCCCGTGTCCTGGTGGGTGTGTGTTCCCGTGGTCAGTGGAGAGACGGGACCCGTGCCCGTGGGCTCTGTGCGAGGCAGGCTGAGGGGGGCTGTGGGAGGCCACGGCAGCTGGGAGGAGAGGCCTGTGGCTGTGTCCACGTGGCCTGCCTTGTCAGAGCTGCTCTTGTGTTAATACCCCAGAGACCCTTGATGGTGGGCCCACCCACATCTGACCCGGGGATCCCCCAAAAGCCAGGCCCAACGGGCTCCAACAGAGTTAGCAGCTCACATCTGCTCGTTCTTTAAAGAATGAAGAGTCGCTGAAGAAGTGTGTGGAGGATTACATCGCGAGAATTGAAAAGGAAGGCCAGAGGTACCAGGCCCTGAAGGCCCACGCGGAGGAGAAGCTCCAGCTTGCCAACGAGGAGATCGCCCAGGTGCGCAGCAAGGCCCAGGCAGAGGCCCTGGCCTTCCAGGCCAGCCTGAGGAAGGAGCAGATGCGCATCCAGTCCCTGGAGAAGGCCGTTGAGCAAAAGGCGAGTACGCGGGCCCCTGGCCCCTGGCCCCTGGGCGGGAGGAGAGGGGAGGGACCCTCCTGGCTTGAGGACCTGCCCCATAGCAGGGGCAGGCCACCAGTACCTTCTAGAAGGGCCCCACGGCCCGTTCCCGAGAATCGTGTAGCACCCAGGGCGCCAAGCCAGGGGTCACAAGCTCAAGCTCCACACAAAGCATGGAGGTTAAAATTTTGTATTATAAAAGTCAAACCCGTTTTGTTTTGTTTTAATTTTTTCTCCTTCAGACTAAGGAAAACGAAGAACTGACCCGAATCTGTGATGACCTCATCTCCAAGATGGAGAAGATCTGACAAGGAGGCCCCTCTCCAGCACCCCGCCCTGTCTGTCTGTCTGTCTGTCTGTCTGAAAGGTTTCATGTTCTTTCTTTTTTTCTTAACCTTAGCTCATTTTTAAACTAGATCACTTTAACAAGAAGACTAAATAAAGTTTCCTTTCGGTTCAAGTGTTGGAGTTGCTCTGGTTTAGGTGAAAGGGCAGGTTTCTGGCCGCGGCCCCCGCGGCCCCACCTTCTCCGCGTGGCCACTCGCTTCCCGTGGTCCCCACCGAGGACTGCGTTTCCACCTCCTGACCGCACATCAGAACAAACGGGTGAGTTTTCTGGGTGACGGTCAGCCTGTGTCCTTCGCAAGACTGCCGTCCCTGCAGGTGGGGCCCTGGCCATGGTGCCACTGGGGCGCTTTGCAGCGCGGCTGACCAACGCCCACTAGGAGCGGGTCTCCCCAGCTGCGCGGGCTCCAGCCCCTACACGGCGACTCGGCGGCTCTAGCAGCCGGGGCTCCGGGGACCCCCGCCCCCAGGGCCGGCTCCGACGGGGCCTGCCAGCCCCACTTGCTGGACCCTCCGACGCCAGCCCGGGCGCGGACCTTCGCTTCCCCGCTCACCGGCCACACGGTACTGGGGGTGGGGCCAAGATGGGCACTTGCAGGGTGAACCCCTGGGACACAGAGTGGGGCTCAACGCAGCCCCCAGGAACCTTTCCGAGCGGCGCAGCAGCCGGGCCTGCAGGGGCCTTGGGACCCTGGTCACAGAGGCGCAGAGAGCAGGCTGCACGCGGGTCCCCAGGGCTGTCGACCCGTGACTGAGTGTGCTGGAGCCGTGTCCCTACCAGCACGGTCCCCAGAACCAGCCAGGTGGCACAGCACCCCCTTAGCGCCTGACTTGGTAGGTCCGGGTGGGCTAAGGACCCACACTGGTGACCTGTTCCCAGCTGGCACTGCCACGGCCAGGCCCAGAGTTCCTCGTCCTCCAGGAGCAGGCTCGGGGCACAGGCGAGTGAAATCACAGCTGGACGTGGGTAAGGGGACACTCACGCCCAGGCCTGAGGAGGAACCACCCACAAAAGGGCGTTTTCTCTCATCAACAGGGCCAGCGCTGCCCCGAACGGGTCGGTGGTGGCAGCCTCCTCACCCAGCGCAGCCTGCCTGGCCCTCTGCGCGCGGCCGCCGGGGCCGGTCCCCTGCCGGGCCTGCCCAGCCCGGAGGCCTCTGAGCGTCTCCATGCCCCCGCACCCCAACTCCAGCTGGCAAGGGCCCTCCCGGAACAGACCCGAGGGAGGGCGGCGGTGACCCGCCAGCCACCCAGCAGAGGTCGCTGCTGGCCCCGGGCCCTGGCACGGAGTCTGGGGCAGGAGGGGACTGTGGGGCCAGGATCCCATAGGTGGAGGGCATGTGTGGCCTCTGCGTTTGCAGGGAAGTGCCTGGCTCTGGGACAAAGGCCGAGCTGGGGGCAGGGACTGAGGGGCCACTCCGCCCCAGGCCCCAGGGCTCCCACCTCTTTGTGGCTGCCCCAGGGGTTCCTTCCAGAAACCCTGTGCTCCAGAGCCTGTCCCCAGCTCCAGCCAGCAGGAGCTTCCGGCACCACCGGCCGCCTGCTTCGAGCCACTTCTCGAGACTTGACATCTCCTGCCCCAGCGGGTCCGTCCGAGGGCGAGGCGTCTGGGAACCGCACGCTGGCCCTGCCCGGGACACGGGCCCTCTTTGGAAATGAGGCCTACACATAAGTGTTCTTCCCGGGTAGAGGCCGCCCTCGGCTGCCTCCCAGGAGGCAGACCTGACCGCCCACGCTGACCCTCAGGCTTCTCCGCGACGACGTCCGTGAGCCCTCCGCGCCACCGGCCACACTCCCCTCCTCTGCCCGGTTCTCCTGCGTGAGGCCCTCGGTTTAGGGGGACCTGGCCCCCGGGGGGCGTCCATCTCCTTAAGAGCAGACTCGGGTGTTGCAGGAGGTGTGGGCAAGGACCGTGGGCCCACCCGAGGTGGGCCAGCCCCACGTGCCGCCACCCGGAATCCGCTCTCTGGGCCCCACTTGTCTCGCCGGCCCCTTCCCCAGAATGACTCGGGCTTCTGCTCTCAGCCTCTAGTCCACCCCCCCCCCCCACCAAGTCAGCCCCAACTCTGTGCCTGGCACCTCCCCACCTGCCCCTGTACCAGATCCTTCCCATCCCGCCCCTCCCCTGCACAGGACTCCACACGTCACTTCCACCCAGAAGGAGTTTCAACAGCCTACTGAGGCCCATTTCGCAGACGAGGAAACGGAGAGCCACAGGGACCAATGGCCATTGGCAGGGAAGAGGCTAGGCAGGGCACAGGATGCAGACGCCGCTCTTCTGCCCAGGGATGGCAGGGAGACAAGGGTCTCTAGGCTCGCCAGCTGCTCCTCGGTGTCCTCACCCACCGTACCCACGAGTACGTCTGGCCAAGGGGGCAGGGCGGCCATGTGGCTGTGAGGCTCCCGTTTCTCTTCGCAGGCCCAGCGCTGCCCCGAACGGGTCGGTGGTGGCAGCCTCCTCACCCAGCGCAGCCTGCCTGGCCCTCTGCGCGCGGCCGCCGGGGCCGGTCCCCTGCTGGGCCTCTCTGAGCCAGGCCAGGAGTCTGCCCAGGGAAAGCCACTCGGGGCAGCTGGCCGTGCCGAGGACACGGGCCGCCGGGCAGCGGCCTGGGCCGGGAGCCTCTCTTCGGGACAAAGGGGCCTTGTGCGGCTGAATGGGTGTTTATGCTGGAGCCCAGTTAGCGATGGGCTGTGAGGCCGGCCGGGCACCGGGTTTCCCCGGCTAAACACGGCCACGCCAGGCATGCAGCAGCGGGGCCCAGCTTCCGCACCCCTGCGCTCCCTGCCTGTGGTACCCACGGTGCCCTGCGGCCTCCTGCCAGGACAAGGACATGGGGAAATGGGGGGCTGTCCCCCAGTGCTGAGCAGGAGGGAAGCAGGATCTGCAAGGCAGCAGCACAGGGGCCTCGTGGGCCGGGCACGCCAGAGGCTGCCTCCCGGGCCCGGGCCGCCACGGCTTCCCAGCGCACGGAGGTGAGAGCCCTGGTGTGGCCCGGGCCGCTGGGACGAGGCCCCCCAGCCTGCAGTAGAATCCCCCTGCTTTGAACTGAAGGTTGCATCCCTGAAACCCCCATCTGGCGCTCCTACCCACCCCCCACGAGATGGCGCCGGCAGGGGGGCCTTTGGGAGGGGATGAGGTCACATGAGGTCATGAGGGTGGGGCCCCGAGACGGCACCGGTGTCCTCACAGAAGAGGGGTGTCTCTGTCCTCCATGTGAGGACACGGCGAGAAGGCGGCCGTCTGCAGGTCGCCACCTTGACCTCAGACTTTCAGCCTCCAGAGCTGTGAGTACGAAATGTCAGTCAATTAGGCCCCAGCCCTGGGGGGGGGGGGGAAGGGCAGGCCACAGGGGGTGCCTAGCCTCAGGCCCCGCCCACCGGCTCACCTGTGCCCCCTGCAGCTGCCGCACGCACACCCCTCAGAGGGTCCATCGGGGCTGAGCAGATGCGGGCATGGCCCTCCCATCTTCCTTCCTCCAGGCGCCCTGGCGGGGGGCCGCCGCACGGCCACCCCGCTGCCCTCACCTCGCTCCCTGCCCAGCTGCAGGTCTCTGCCCGCCCTCTCCCGCCATCGCCTCCCCCGCCGAAGCCAAGCGCTGCCTTCGCTCGCCGCTGCCCCCCGGCCCAGTCTGAACCCCAAACTCTCCTTGGCCCCTTGCGAGGGAATGAGCGCTTCTGTGTGGCCAAGCGGGTGCCCAAAAGGTCCTTCTTTGGGCTGGCCGTGTGCCTGTGCCACTCTGCCCTCTGGGAAAGACCAGGGAACGTGGCACGTGTGCCTGTGTGACCTGGGCGTGCAAACCCAGGCTCTGAGCTCCCTCACCGGCCCCTCATGTCACATGTGTCCTGTTGGGAGGTCCTGATGCGCTGGGGGAACAGATGGCCGCCGACGGGGCTGCATGGGGCCAGAGAAGGGAGGTCCGGACTCGGCTGAGGCCTGACTCGGGGGACCCTGCTGGGGTGTGCTTAAGATGTGCGGGCACATGTTGGGGTCTGTCCATGTGGCGCAGAGCACGCCTGGAGGGGGCTGCGCACGGGGGGATGGCCCCATGGACCCTGGCCCCGGCTCCTAGGGGCCCCCGTTCCCAGGACTCCAGGTCCCAGGACCCCTGTGCCGCCCTGGCCCCCCGCGGGGACCCTCACACTCTGACCCAGGCTGTGAGGCTGTGACAGCCACTGGGTCAGGCGGCCTGCAGGGGGAGCCACTGGGCCGGCCCGAGCCACCTCCAGCCCCGCCCCCAGGCTGGGTCTTCTGGAACCCTACCCCAGGGCGCGCTGAGGTCCCCCCCGCAGAAGCTACCCTCTGTCCTGTAGACCCCAGCGCACCCCCGAGGCCCCCACCAACTCCAAGCCGTTGTAGGGGTGCTGGGTGAGGCAGGCCCAGGCAGGCGCGGGGCCGGGCGCCGTCACCCACTGGGGGGCGGTCCGGGCAGGCCGAGGTGGGGCTCGGGCCCCAGCCCCTTTCTTCCGGGGACCCCCCACCCCAGTTCTGGGTTGGGGGAGGGGTGGGCCTTGCCCGACCACCAGCCGGGCACCGGGGCTCATGGCCCCCGCCTCAGCGCTGCTTTAGGAGCGGGCCGGACTCCCCAGAGGGACACTCCTGCCCCCAGCCGGGGCCTGGACACCGAGCCCGACAGTTGGCAGGCCTGCGGTGTGAGCGAGGAAGAGATGGAGGTGCGCTAAGGGCCCCCCACCCCCCTTGCTCTAGGACGAGGGCGACGAGAGGGTGCCCCTGCGTCCTGCACACAGTGCTGGCAGGAGTGCGAATGAGGGAGGGAGGGAGTGTGAGAGAGTGAGTACCAGGTTCGGTGTGTGAGAGGATGTGCGTGAGGGAGCATGAAGGACTGTGAGGAGGTAAAGGAATGTGAGCGTGTGGGTGTGTGTATGAGGGACTGTGTGAGGAAGCAACTGTGTGAGTGTGAGGGAGCGCGTGTGTGAGGGAGGGAGTATGTGAGTGTGAGGAAGTGAGTGTGTGAGTATGAGGAAGCGTGTGTGTGAGGAAGTGCGTGTGTGATGGAGGGAGCGTGTGGGTGTGTGAGGGAGCACGTGTGTGAGGAAGTGACTGGGTGTGTGAGGAAGCGCGTGTGTGAGGGAGGGAGCGTGTGGGTGTGTGAGGGA